TTATTTAAACAAATAAGTAAATAATAAATCAAATGTTCTCATCCAGTTTTATTTACAAAAATGAAGTCTTAAATTTTGTGGTAATTGTGGTTCAGCGCCTATGGCTCAAGCAGCTAAGGTGCCAACCACATACACCTGAACTGGCAGATTCAAATCCAACCCGGGCCAGCCAAACAACGACAGCTGCAACCAAAAAATAGCTGGCCATTGTAGTCCCAGCTACTTGGGAGGCAGAGGCAATAGAATCACTTGAGCCCAGGAGTTGGAGGTTGCTGTGTGCTGTGATGCCACAGCACTCTACCCAGGGCAACAGCTTGAGGCTCTGTCTCAAAAAAAAAAATTTTTTTTTGTGTGTGGTAATTGTACACTTGCAGAGAAGTGGCAGATAGTTCAGAATTTCCTTTACGCTTTTCCCCACCGATGCAACCACCAGTGTGTTTCTGTTAACTAGACTCTGACTTCACTTGGATTCTCCACATCTTCCCATGAATGTCCTTTTCGTGTTCCAGGATCCAGTCCTGGACACCACACTGCATTTAGTGTCAGGGATTGTTCTCATTTCACAGACTTAACGGAGGGAACATCTCTCTCTCTCCCTCCCTCCCTCTTTCTCTCTCAGTTGGTTGTATGAACACTTAGTAATAATACCACCACCCCCATCTCTCTGGATGTGACCACGATTAACCTGAGGAACATAAACAACAACTACGAGCATAAGAACCCCAAGTCCCCCAGTGCTTGCACTGCTTGCTGTTGCTTTTGTGAGCCCTTGGGGAGAGAACAGGAAAGAATGTTCTTAGAGTTCTCAGCCAATTCAATCTGTAGAAGTTGCCCAAGCCCCCAGAGTATGCAAAGTCCCTGGCTAGAAGCTATAAGGAAAACAGTTGAGTAAGAGCTTTTCCCACTTTGAAAAGGGCTGCCAGAGAGGCAGCCAGATCTAAGGGGCAAGGTGAGTGGCAGGTACCACCCACATTATCAGGAGACAGGGGTAGGGGGGTGCATTTGGTGACTTTTGAACCATGCCTTAAAGGAAGGTTAGGATTTCACTGGTAAAGGCAAAGGGGAACGGTGCTCTGGACTGAAGAAACATGAGCAAAGGCACAGAGGTGTGTAAATGCAGGCAGGTGCAGGGACAGCAGCACAGGAACATGAGTGGCATGAAGGAGGAGAGAAGGGCCCCTGGGGAGGGCGGCAGATGCCAGGGCAGGGAAACCCACCTCCCTCCAGCAGGCAGAGAGAAGCACCTGAGATTCCCACATGGGGAAGTAAGGTCAGAGCTGTCACAGGGTGACATGCTGGTGGCATGGCAAGAAGTGATTTCTCTTGTCTTCCTGGGGTGGGCAGGAGAGGCAGATGGGCAAAGGCTGCGATGGGGTAATGGTTGGGATGTGAACTTGAGGAGGACGGGACTGGAGGAGGGTGACTAAGGCTGTGAGCCTGGGGACAGAGGAGGGAGCAGGCGTGTTGAAGGGTCTGCTACCCAGGTTTATATGCAGCATCATCTCTGAAAAGGGGTGGCGGCGGGTCCCCAAGGCAGAAGAGGAAAGAAATGAACCCTCCTCACAAAGGTCATATCCCCGATGCCTCTGCTACTTCAGGACCTTGGAACCCTTCATAGCTTGTGAAGGGTCCAGGTCCATGGGAAGCAATCCAGCTGCTCAGAGGCTGAGGCTGGGGGAGTTCAGGACCTTGAGGCTGTAGTGAGGTATGACTGTGACACTTCACTCCAGCCTGAATGACAGAGCGAGACCCCATTTCTAGAAAAGAAAAGAAAAAAAAGGGGTCTCATTGCATCACCTCCCACTTGCTAACCTCCCAGGCCCCACCACTCAAAGTAAGGTCCTACCTCCTTAACCCCTCACTCTAGTCCCATCACAATCCAGTGCCAGCCCACTACCTGTCCTCGCCCACATTTTCTTTCTTTCTGTTTTTTTTTTTTTTTGAGACAGTCTCATTATGTCACCCTTAGTAGAGTACTGTGACATCACAGCTCACAGCAACCTCAAACTCTTGGTTTAAGTGATTGTCTTGCCTCAGTCTCCCAAGTAGCTGGGACTACAGGCTCCTGCCCAGCTACTTTTTGTTATTGTTGTTGCAGTTGTCATCGTTGTTCAGCTGGCCCGGGCTGGGTTCAAACCTTCCAGCCTCAGTGCTTCTGGCCAGTGCAGTAACCACTGTGCCACGGGCACCCACATTCTCTAGCCACCTGTAACTCTCCTTGCATTGTGGACCACTCTGGGACCCCTCTGAACTTCCAGGGTCTTCCCCGTCTCCAAGGCGTGGTCCCATCACCCACCAGGAGGTCTCACTGTGCAGAGCTTCCCACAGCCCTTAGCTTGCTGGACTGCGGCTCTGCAGTTATGAACCCTGCTGGGCTGGAAGCCCTGAGGGACCACATCCTATTTGCTCCCAGAGCTGCCAACTAGCAAAGGTAATAAACAAACAGAAAGGACTGTTCTGAAAGAACCCAGTAAATTGTGGCTCTAGTATCAAAGCAGCTAGCAACCTGTAGGGGGATGGCGGGGAGGGCTGGATGCAGTGTTCACAGTATGACTTTTACAGGGCAGTCTAGTGCCTGGCAGACAGCCCAATGCCTAGTTTTTCTACCTGTGACCAGGGGTCCTCCCACAGGAAACTGGTTTATATTGGCACATGCCTGTGGCTCTTGCCTCACCCATGTCCAGCTTATGGAGACCTGCCCATCTCTCTGTAGCTAGGAGCCCCTGGTTCTTCTGATGGAGCCCCAATTCAATACACCACCGTGACAGAAAATAAGCTCAAAGATTTTTTGCAGCAAGGAGAGCATCATGAGTCAGGAGGGCAGACCTCTATCCCCAGTCACATGAGGTAAGAATGGAGAATTAGAGAAAGTGAGAGAGCTTGGCAACAGCTGTATATTGGGTCTGATAATTAAGTTTGACAACTTACCACCATTCGTTCACATTGGCGGCGCTGTACAAACAGCTCGGTTAAGGTTCCATAACCCTGGTACATCAGCGTCTCACAGCTCTGTGCGTGTCAGCGTGTGGCGCTGTCTTGCTGAGTGGTGTTCGTAACTGCTGCATGTTTTGGGTGCTGTTTCAAGAATCGAGCTTCGAGGAAACCAACAAACATTAAACTTCTTGTTAAACTTGGCAAGAGTGGAAGTGAAATCAGCGACATGTTAGTCCAAGTTTTGGGGATAATGCTATGAAGAAAACGGCAGGGTAAGGGGAGAGAAAGCGTCATCGATGAAGAGAGGTCAGGGTGGCCAGGAATGAGCAGAACTGACAAAAACATTGCTAACATTCATCCATTTGTGTATCAAAATTGTTGGCTGACTATGAAAAGCATAGCAGGCCAAATTAGGAATATCTTTACTTAAAATCTTGGCCAACAACTCAGGTTCATGAGAATGCACCTGCCAGTCAACAAATAACTGTATTGCAACACCCTCCGTCCTCACCTCATCTGGCCTCCAGTGAGTGAGCTTTTTCTTTACCTGAAGATACAGGAAATATTAAAAGAAAGCCATTTTGATGACATTCAGGACATTAAGAGTACTAGGACGATAGCGTTCATGGCCATTCCAGAGAAAGTTTCAAAACTGCTTTGAAGAGTGGATTGGGCGCTGGCATCACTGCAGTTTCCTAATGGGAGGACTTCGAAGGTGACCATAGTGATAGTCAGCAATGGGGTATGGAGCACTTTTTTTAGGATGAGTTCTCAAACATAATTGCCAACCTTGAACATGATTGTCCAACCTTGAACATGCCGCATGGGTTACATGGGTCACTGTAAGTTCACTGCCAAATGCCCAGTGGTCCCTAAAGGAAGCAGCCGGAAAGCAGGGAGGCCAGCCCGCTGCGGGGACGTGGGCCTCTAGATTCTTACCTCCAGTCACTAGGTCAAGTCACTCGGGCTTGGTGCAGAACTGGAAGCTGTGTCAAGGGCGACTGAGCCCTGCTACTGGCATGAGAAAGTTAAACCCGTGTCCAAAACGGCTGGTTGACCAGGCAACATAAAATGTTAAGAATTCACAAGTATTTGTCCTAGACTTGCTGCTTTCTGAAGCTCGGGAGGCTGTTCTTCCTTCCCGGCTGAATCTGGTGCACCAGTCTGCTAGCTCTTCCTGACTTGGGGTTGCAGATCCTCCCCAGGCAGGACGATATTGTTCATAATCCCTCCTTACCCGGGGCTTCCTCCAGGCCCCAGCTTTATACATTTGTTCGTTCATCTGTACAACTATTAAAAGACTGGTTTGTGGGGCGCCGGCCCCATATTCCCAGCCAAACCGCAACAAAAAGTGGCCAGGCGTCTTGGTGTGCGCCTGTAGTCCCAGCTACTCAGCAGGCCGAGGCAAGAGAATCGCTTAGGCCCAGGAGTTGGAGGTTGTTGTGAGCAGTGTGATACCACGGCACTCTACCGAGGGCAATAAAGTGAGACGCTGTCTCTCGCCCCCTCCCCCAAAATCAATAAAAGTAACATTAATAAATAAATAAAATTAAAAAAAAAAAAGAAAAAAAGACTGGTTTGTGCCAAGCGCTGCTAAGGACCCTAGGACGCGATGGGAACGCGGCAGACGCAGGCCGGCCTTCAAAACCTTTAAAAAGAGTCACCCCACCTTTAGCCTTGCTCTTGGGCCAGCGAGGACCCAGGGGAAACCCTGCTGTGGCTGCCCCTAGCACGGCCGTGGAGCTCAGGCCTAACAGAACCTTCTCCAGCCCTCCCACGGCGCTTCGGCGTAACCGGGAGCCCCAGAGGAGACCTCGGCCACCATCCCAGGGCTCCCGGGCCAGCTGCCCAAGGTCTCGGCCAGGCGGGCGCGGGCCCGCCCCTGGGTGGTGGCGCCTCCCATCGCCCGCGGCGTCTCCGAGCACGAGCACCATTCCGGCCGGGTCTACCCAGGTCAAGGACTCAGACAGGCTGCCTGGGGAGGGCCCTTCCGGGGTACTCGGTCCGTAGGGGCGGGACCTGCGTTTGGGGCGGGGCTCGGAGCTGTCGGTTTCCTCAGCTCCAGTGACCTCACCTACAGTGTAACTGCCACGAGCACGCCGGACCAGAGCAATGGGTAAAGATGCCCCACCAGGACCCCTTAGACCGAGTGGGACAGGGGAAGCCCCGCGCAAACACCCGCCTGCCCACGTCCACCTACTTGGGACCGTGGAGGAGGGGGCTGCTGGAGGGGGGTGTTCGCACACCACCCGGCCCCGCTGGGTGCCGCAGATGCTTCGTCTGAGGTTCCGGGAACGCAGAGCCCAGCCAGCCTGACGGGTGTGTGGGAGGTGCACCAGGATGCAGCCACAACGCCTCTCCTCCCCCCAGTGCGTTCTAGAAAGTTCTGACCCAGCTCAAATAGGGTCCTCTCTGTGTCCGGAGGCACCAGGCCAGAGGCTGCGGGGGAGGGGGGAGGAATTAGGGGGACGCTGATGCCCTAGGCGCTCTGCGCTGGGGCCTGGTGCGGTGCCACCTGCCCTAAATCCTCCCTCTACTTCGGTGTCCATGTGTGACCTTTGGGCGCTTATAGCACCACCACCACCCCAGTGCCTCAGTTTCCTCCCCTGTGAAGTGAGGGTGGCATACCGAGGATGTGGGGCACAGGTACACCTGGCGTGCTCAGCACCAGTCTGGCCCTTAGTGAAGGCACAGAAAGTGTTGGCTGTTACTATTCTGTTTACTCTGCTTTTATGGAAAAGGAAACTGAAGCTCAAGAGGTTTCAGTAACTGTCCCAAGGTCACACAACCAGCAAGTGGCAGGGTCCAGTCCTGGCCAATGCCTCCCTCCCCCCTTCCCAGTGCATTCTAGGAAGTTCTGGCCCAGCTCAAATAGGGTGCAACCCACCCAAAGTTTTCCTCACCCAGTGGACTCTGTTCATCTTTCTGGTGTCTGACTCTCCATAACCCTGCAGAGAGGGGTGGGCAGCTCAGAGACTGTAGATGAAGCTCGGGTGCAGGAATGAACGAGTGATGGAATGAACAACTGACTCTTTCAGGTCTGCTCTCAGAGCTGAAGCTGGCTGTGCCCTGGGGTCACATTGCTGCCAAAGCCTGGGGCTCACTGCAGGGCTCCCCAGTTCTCTGCCTGCACGGCTGGCTGGACAATGCCAACTCCTTCAACAGACTCATTCCTCTTCTCCCACAAGGTGGGGCTGGGGCTGAGGGGGACTGAGGCGGGCTGGAGACGCTGGTATAGACACCTCCTGCTACCCACTTTTCTCTGTTTCAGACTTTCATTATGTTGCCATAGATTTTGGGGGTCATGGGCTCTCGTCCCATTATGGCCCAGGTTTCCCATATTACCACCAAAACTTTGTGAGTGAGGTCCGAAGAGTCGCCGCAGGTGAGTAAGAGGCAGAGGGTATGTGGGGTTCTCTGAGACACCTCTGGATGCTCCTTGGAAGCAACCTTGGCTTGGAGTAGGGGGCTGGAGTCTCGCCCCAGTTCTGCCAACAAGTCATGGGTGGCTTTGGAAAAGTGGGAGACGACTGCGGAGAAGAGCTTACTCCCTTCTGTGGGTCCCCGCTGCAGTGGAGTTGGAGCCCCCTAAGCTGGTCTCCCAGGTGGGCACCCTGAAACCAGGAAGGGGTTTCCTGAGCCCTGGGCTGTAGGAGACAGGGCAGGCTGAGGCCGGCCCGGTCCAGATCACTTGGCTCCTTGTGTTTTCAGCCATGAGATGGAGTCGCTTTTCCCTCATGGGCCACAGTTTCGGTGAGTACCGGCCAGATTATGACTGGGGGCAGGGGTTGTCACACTGGCACCTTACCCCTGTGCCTCTGAGAACTGCAAGGAGAGATGACAGGGTCATTAGGTAGTAACCTTTGGGCACTGTGCCCTCTGACCTCAGGCAACTTCCCTGAGGGACATCTAACCCCATAAGTGGCTGTTCCCTTATACCACAAGTGAAATGTGGCCTTTTAAGAGGTCAGGGCTGATAAAGGAGCCATTATGGGCCCAGGGAAGGAAGTCCCCCACCCACTGGTGGTAGCTGGGTCTCTGGCCTAAAGATGGGGCAGCCCCTGGGAAGAAGCTTTAGAAAGAATTTTGTAGCTGGGGAGGGAGTGAGGGGATGTCACCAACTGACCCTTTGTCCTCCAGGTGGCACTGTGGCTGGAACGGTGAGTAGAAGGCCTACCAGGCTACTGGGGGCCCCTGTACTGAGTGGGAAGAGCAGAGGAGGAGGGTAGTGACCTGAGGTGGGAAGTGCCTGGCACAGCAGTTCATAGTTCACCTGCAGGAAAGGTGGTGATGGTGGAGATGCCCCCACTCCGTCACAGAGCACCCTAGAGTCCAGCCATCACCAGGGCCTAGAGCTTGGTTTGGGGTGCAGACCTAGAGATGGGGGAGACATAAGAGGGACAGAAGATTCTCCTGCTGGCCTCTTGGTCAGCACCATCCCCCCAGCCTAAAAGATGTCTGTCAAGGTCTCCAGAACAAAGTGTGAGAGCCTTCCGCCTTCCTCCCTGCTCATTCTCCCTTCTGGTGTCCCATCGTAGTTTTCCTGTATCTTCCCTGAGATGGTGGATAAACTCATCTTGCTGGAGTCGTCGCCATTTGCTGTGGACTGTAATGTGAGAAGGGGTTCTTGTGCATGCTGGCATCTCCTCAGTGGATACTAGGGCAGCAAGAGGACGTGGCAGAGGGTGGATGGGAGGGGAGGTACTGGGGCCCCACAGGGGATGGTGTTCTGCTGCTTTATACCCCTCAAAGTGGTCAGGAGAAGGGGTTCAGGGGCCCCTGGAAACTGTGTGGCGTGGGATCTGCAGAGTGCCAGGAGGATCGCGTAGTGGCAGGCGGAGGTAGAGAAGGGAGCAGGGCGGAGGAACCTCTGGGGAAACACAGTACAAGAACCTATTTCTTTTTTTACAGTCTCACACTGCCACCTTGGGTGGAGTGCCATGGCATCATGATAGCTCACAGCAACCTCTATCTCTTGGGCTCAAGCATTCTCTTGGCTCAGCCTCCCAAGTAGATGGCACTACAGGTGCCCACCACAATGCCCAGCTATTTTTTTTTTTTTTGAGACAGAGCCTCAAGCTGTTGTCCTGGGTAGAGTGCTGTGGCATCACAGCTCACAGCAACTTCCAACTCATGGGTTCAAGCGAGTCTCCTGCCTCCACCTCCCAAGTAGCTGGGACTACAGGTGCCCACCACAACACCTGGCTATTTTTTGGTTGCAGCCATCATTGTTGTTTGGCAGGCCAGGGCTGGATTCGAACTCACCAGCTCAGGTATATGTGGCTGAGGCCTTAGCCACTTGAGCCACAGGCGCTGAGCCATTGCCTAGTTATTTTTATAGATGAGGTTTCACTCTGGCTCAGGCTGATCTTGAACCTGTGAGCTCAGGCATTCCACCCCAGACAGCCTCCTAGAGTGCTAGGATTACAGGTGTGAGCCACCACACCCGGCCTGGCTCAAGTGATCTTGCCTCAGTTTTTCTACTTTTAGTAGAGGCAGGGTCTCATTCTTGCTCAGGCTGGTCTCAAACTCCTGAGTTCAAGCAATTCACCTGCCTCAGCCTCCCACAGTGCTAGGATTACAGACATAAGCCACTGCTCCTAGCCCATGTCTGTCTTTTTATCACCACACTCCAATCCTGGCATGTAGTAAGTGCTCAGTAAACAGGCCTTGCATGAACAGATAGCCCAGCTAGCTCATGGGTCATTCAAAGGATCCGAGTCAGGCTGCAGGTGGCCAACACTCTCCCTCCTTTCTTTCTTTCTTTATTTTTTCTATCTCCTTTCTGTATTTCACCCATCTAGCCCTGAAGCAGGGTCCCAGGGTCTTCCCCTTGGGCCAGTCTAGGGAGCATTTGGTCCCCCCCAGTTCTCTATTCCCTCGTGTGTGAGGGGAGTGTCACCTCCTACTGCACCCCAGGCAGTCTGACCCTGTCTGCTCACAGACTGGCCTGTGGGAGGTGGGAAGCCCCAAAGCAGCACCTCTTACTGCCAGCTTCTTCTCTGCCATCTGTTGAACCAAATGAAATCACCAGCCTCTGATGTCTCCTGATCTAATAGTGTACTTTTGGAAGGCACTTGGCAGTTGACAGAGGTCTCTTTTTCTCCTTATCACCCAGACTGGTTCTTTCAGCTGTCTCTGGCCTCAGGCAGAGCTGGGCAGCCTGCACCAAGTCAGAGGGGAGGCCTCTCTCAGGGTCGCTGGGCGAGCAAGCAAGGCTGAGAGCACAGGATGGGTGGGGTGGGGTGGCTGCAGCCCCAGCCTGCCTACCCAGTGACCCTGAATCTTTAGGAAATGGAGAACCTTCTGACCTACAAGAGGAAAGCCATCGAGCACGTACTGCAGATGGAGGCCTCCCAGAAGCCCCCGAGCGTGGTCAGCCCGGAGGAGATGCTGCAGGGGTGGGTGCTCAGCACAGGGAAGGGTACTGGGAGCCAGAGTGGCCGGACCAGGGGAGGCTTCTGGCCAAGCCTGTTTCCACCTGTGGTCACACCAAGCGCAGGTTCCTAGGCTATCTTCACTGCCCCAGTGGGGACTTTATTTGCCTTTCCCTCTGTGCCTTGTGACAGTCACACCCTTCACTTCAGCACTCCTCTCCATACCTCACACCCCTTCCTCTTCCTGCAGGCATGCACACGCACATGTGCACACACGCACATGTGCACACACGCATGTGTTCTCCTTCCGCGCTGCCTCTCCCATGGCACCCTCCATCTGGCATTCTCCCCTCACACTGCCAACTTCTCAGCTCCTCCTTTGGCCACCACTGGCTAGTACTCCCTCCAGAAGCCTGCCCAACTCCCCCAGCTGAGCTGTCACCCCTGCCCTGGAAGTGACCACAGCTCTATTAAGAGCCTACTGGCTTGGCGCCTGTGGCTCAAGTGGCTAAAGTGCCAGCCACATACACCTAAGGTGGCGGGTTCGAATCCGGCCTGGGCCCACCAAAACAATAATGACAGCTACAACCAAAAAAAAAAAAAAATAGCCGGGTGTTGTGGCGGGCACCTGTGGTCCCAGCTACTTGAGAGGCTGAGGCAGGAGACTCATTTGAGCCCAGGAGTTGGAGGTTGCTGTGAGCTGTGATGCAACGGCACTCTACCCAGAGGGACAGCTTGAGGCTCTGTCTCCAAAAAAAAAAATGCCTACTGACTCCCTGGTTTCTTGGTGCCGGTGGCTGTCCTGGTCATGTTGATATGTCCTGCATCTGGCAGTGTGCCCAGCAGGTCAGGGCTCCATAAACGTTTGCTGTCTAAAGGAGTAGAAACACACACACACACATCTGCTGCTGTGAACATGCCATCCACACATGGGGAACACCCATGCATTCTTTAGGGGTGACCTCCCTTTCACTGGACACCTCTCCTTTTCACCTGACCGAGGCCCCCAGCGACCTCTGTCTCCCCAGGTTCCTGAAGAACAACAGTCATGTGAGTGAAGAGTGTGGGGCGCTGCTCCTGCAGAGAGGAACCACAAAGGTGGCCACAGGTAAGCGTGTCTCTGTCCAAGGCCACTGCATGTAGTCACTGTTGGTACTGAGGAGGGATAGCCAGGGCAGGCGCCGGAGGAGCCATGTCACTGAGTGCTTCCACATGGCCTCTCACCGGGTCCTTGCACCTCCTTCTCAGCCCCATTCAGAGTGGGAGACACTGAGGTAAGTGTGGCCCAGCAACTGATGGCCATGCCATGTCCAGGAAAGCCATACTCTAGGACGTGTGGTCCCCCGTCTCAGAACTAAATGGTGAATGTTGTGGTTGTGCTTGACCCATGGGTTGGCTGCTGTTGGGAGGCTCTGAGGACATCCTGGAGGCTGAGTGACTCTGAAAGGGCTTTTCACAGGCGGTGCCTGTGGCTCAGTGGGTAGAGCGCTGGCCCCATAGACTGAGGGTGGCTGGTTCAAACCCGGCCCCGCCCAGTTAAAACAATTCTCACCATGAGAATTACAACAAAAAATAGCCGGGCATTGTGGCTATTGTGCCTGTAGTCCCAGCTATGTGAGAGGCTGAAGCAAGAGACTCACTTAAGCCCAAGAGTTGGAGGTTACTATGAGTTGTGATGCCACGGCACTCTACCAAGAGTATCAAAAAAAAAGGGCTTTCTGCTCCCGGAAGTGGCTGGTACTATGACTTCAGGGCAGCCTCTTTGTTTTCTAATATAGTCATTCAGGAAACCTTTCCTAAAGGTCTTCCAGGCTGTGGGGACTGCCAGTGAGCAGACCCCCTTGGGGGCAGGACCTCTGGGGCACAACTCCAGGCACTCCCCTTCTGAAGTGTGGCTCAGAAGTTGAACTCCAAGGAAGCTGGATGGGAACCCATGTTGTAGGAGGAGAAACAGGCGATGAACAGGTATAACAGACAACTCAGTGGTCGGACCATGCCTAGTATGACAAAGGACACTTGCAGAGTGCTCTGGAAAGGACTTATGGGGGCCCACTCCTGAGGGGGTGAGGAGAGGAAGCTGGGGGGAGATGGCGCGGTCAGAGGGCAAGACCTGGCTCTGATTCCCAACTCCACCAGCTGGGCCTCTCCTTTTAGCCTCCCTGGTTTGCTCAGGGTTTTTTTTTTTTTTTTTTTTTTTGAGACAGAGTCTCAGTTTGTCACCTCTGTAGAATGTCCTGGCATCATAGCTCACAGCAACCTCAAATTCTTGGGCTCAAGGATCCTCTTGCCTCAGCCTCCCAAGTAGCTGGGACTACAGGAGCCCACCCCAGTGTCCAGCTATTTTTAGAGACAAGATCTTGCTCTTGTTCAGGCTGATCTCAAACTCCTGAGCTCAAGCAAGTCACCCGCCTTCGCCTCCCAGAGTGCTGAGATTACAGCCGTGAGCCATCACACCCAGACAAGAGCTTGGATCTTTGTGCTCATAGGCTGATAAGATCAAGCAAGGGGGTAAAAGCCACTTCAGTTTATAAAATATCAAATGAAGCCAAGAGTCAAAATTCCACATGCCTGTGGGGGCTGGGCCAGTTGTGGACGTCATCCTGCTGGGGGGAGGGAGGCAGGAGAAGGGAGGAGTAGGGCCCCAGGCTGGTTGCCTTGTGGGAATTCAGGTCTAGTGTGGCTGGAATTTCCAGTTGCTTTAGAGAAACCAGTGGTATTTTCAGGTATGGGGCATCAATCCAGAAAATGACAACACACTGTGAGGTTCTAACTACTCTATATGCCTGTGGGCTGTTCTGGCAACACACTGTGAGTTCTTTTTTTTTCTTTTTTTTGAGACAGAGCCTCAAGCTGTCCCCCTGGATAGAGTGCCGTGGCATAGCTCACGGTAACCTCCTGGGCTCAAGCGAGTCTCCTACCTCCGCCTCCCAAGTTGCTGGGACCACAGGCACCCACCACAACGCCTGGCTATTTTTTTTCGGTTGCAGCCATCATTGTTGTTTGGTGGGCCCGGGCTGGATTCGAACCTGCCACCTTAGGTGTATGTGGCTGGCACCTTAGCCACTTGAGCCACAGGCGCCGAGCCACACACTGTGAGTTCTAATGCTATATGCCTGTGGGCTGTTCTGGCCTCGGGCCAGTTTGGTCAGTTTGTGACCTACTGGGTCTTTGTTTTCAGCTCCCTGCAAACCCACCAGGGAGGGAGTAGGTCCAGCGCCTCCGTCCCAGGCTTCCCTGCATACTCTGCACAGATGGCGGCCCCTGATGGCCGGCCCAGAGGGGCCCCAGGCATAGAACTGGGCTAATCCGGAATGAGACATAGTCCGACCAGGCTAGGGAATCTGATTAAGCCCAAGGTCACATGTGATGAACAGGGCGTCTATCTGTGGGTGCCCAGGGGACATGGGGAAAGGAGGGAGGGAGGGCTGGGAAAGGGGCTGAACCCCCGAGGTACTGTGGGAGTGGGCAAGTGGCTTGAGTATTGTGTTGGGACCATTCCCTGCAGCAATTGTGGCCCTTTGGGACCCAGCGAGCCTAGACCAGCATCTCAGGGGTGATATGGGCTTCTCTCAGGTCCTGCCCCTCCAGTCCCAGAGACCACATTCCATTCTGGAGCCGGCAGGGGGCTAGGACAACTACCTTCCTCCAACCCTATCCCTCCAGAATCTGTATTGGCTTCCGGGGCTGCTGCAACAGAGCACCACTCCCCCTTGGGTGCCCACAAGACCCGGGGAGAGGAAGGTGTGTCTTCATTGTCTCTTTATCTTCTTAACTACTTCAGCCATCCCACCCACATGTACTTCTGGCTTTCTAGAAACAAGCTTGAGCATGTTCTCTCCATGAAGGAGGGAAAACCCAGCTCTGTCTGAGGTTCACGAAGGACAAAGGGACAGTCCATGTTCGTAGCCGCACCATGGAGCTTTAGGGTCTCAGGGATCGACCTAACTCAGGCCCCTACCCTGGGCCAGGCCACAGGTGAGGGGCACATGGGCCAGGGGTGTCTTGCTGGCTCTTTGGTTCCTCATTGGGGTCACCAAGCCTTTTGGGACATGTTTTCCTGCTGGGGATACTTGGAAACTGAGTTCTTTAGGAAAACTCCAAGAGTGTTTTGAAATGGATTTTTCACCACTGGGCATAGTAAGGGGCCAACAGGCTGTGGCTTTGAGTCTTATTCCTGGGGCCTCTCGGCCTGGAGAGCAGGTATCCCAATTCATAAAAAGAGGAAGGTCCAGTTTATAGAAAAGAGAGAAAGGAGGTCATTTTCTTCCTCCTGAGCGCATTGTCATACAGTGTCCACACCCAGGGATCCCGAGGAGGCCAGGGGTGGCTTCCTGGGGACACAGAGGAGGAGAGGGAAGGAGTGACAGGGAGGAGGGGCCATCCAAGAATCAGGACTCTGTCCGGAAGGTGAAAGGGTTCCAGAGTGAGCAGTGGGAGATTTGAGTTCTGGAACAATCCATCTGGCAGCTGTGGGAAGGGCAATGGCAGGTGGAGTAGGGCTGGAATTGAGAGTTGGTTTAGGATGTGAGAAGCCCAAACCCAAGCAGGGGCAGGGGACAGAAAATAACCTATCCCTAATTACTGGCTATGGCAGGAGAGGAAAGAGTCTAGTGCTCTGATAAAATCTCCTTCATCAGATACTATTTTCCAGTGAAATGTGTTTCATGTAAGTTTCAGGGAATTTCAAAACCCCTGAAGGGAAGAGTGTCTCTCCCTGATCTCTAATAAGTGGGGAAAACCTAATTAATTACTGAAGGTAGCTTTCCTTAATGTTTCCACAATTTGTTTCTTTCTCAGAGAACCACATGGGTGTTCAGAGAGTGGTTTTCCCACAGAGAGACCTAAAGTCCCCTCCCTGAACATTCCCATGGAGTTGATGGCATTTCCAGAGGGGAAGGGGAAAGGTGCTAAACTAGCTGTCACTTTGGTTTTGTTTTAATTTAATATTACTATTTTGAACAGGTGCTACATCACCTGGTTTGAAAACCACAGTGGTATCAAAAGATGTGCACATCTCACTGGGTCTCATCCCTGTCCCATCCGTCTGTTCCTCACCTCACCCCCACGTTTTTAAACATTTTCACAACCTTCCAGGCTTTTCTTAGGTGAGCACAAGTGCACATCTGTGCTCTTAATCCCCCTCTCTTATATGACAGGCCTCGTGTAGAGCCTGTTCTGCAGTCTCTGTGTTTCTTGGACTCAGCGGCAGATCCTGGAGATGGGCCACATCTTTCTGAGTGTCCTCTGGGGGTGTCAGGGCTAATTTAACCAGTCTCTGATGAAGGGAAGCTGGCGTTCCAGTCTCTGCATGGCCCCGCTCCCTGGCTTCCTGAGTGTGTGCCACCTGCAGCTGGTGGCATGCACACGAATTAAAACCTGAGATGTCATTCTCCCCTGGCAAGGGGAAAGGCACCAGGCCTCTGAAGGCATTGCTAGGTGTCATCCAGCACTGTCCCTTAGCAACCCTGTCTATGCAGCTGAGAGGCTTTATGTCCCCAGCTGTCACTTGGTTGGAATTTTGCTCATTTGGTAAGTGAGAAGCAGTATCTCAGTGTGGTTTTAATTTGTGTTTTCTTTTCTGGTTATTTATTTATTTACTTATTTTTAAAGATAGAGTCTTGGCTCAGTGCCTGCAGCACAAGCAGCTAGGGCGCCAGCCACACACACCAGAGCTGACAGGTTTGAATCTAGCCCGGGCCCACCAAACAAAATGACAATTACAACCAAAAAATAGCCAGGCGTTGTGGCAGGCACCTGTAGTCCCAGTTACTTAGGAGGCTGAGGCAAGAGACTCGCTTAAAGCCCAAGAATTTGAGATTGCTGTGAGCTGTGACGCCACGACACTCTACCCAGGGTGACAGCTTGAGATTCTGTCTCAAAAAAAAAAAGATAGGCGGTGTCTGTGGCTCAAAGGAGTAGGGCATGGGCCCCATATGCCTGAGGTAGCAGGTTCAAACCCAGCCCAGCCAAAAACTGCAAAAAAAAAAAAAAAAAAGATTAGATTCTCACTCTGTCAGCCTGGGTAGAGTACTGTGGTATCATAACTCATAGCAACCTCAGACTCTTGGGCTCAATTGATCCTTTTGCCTCAGACTACCAGGTAGGTGGGACTAGAAGTAACTGCCACAATGCCTGGTTATTTTTGGTTACTGTTGTCACTGCTGTTTTAGCTGGCTGGGGTGGGGTTCAAACCCGCCACCCCCCTGGGTATATGGGGCTGGTGCCCTACCCACTGAGCCATAGGTGCTGCCCTGCAGAATTTTTTTTTTTTTTTTTTGCAGAGAATGGCCTAAGCCCAGGAGTTGGAGGTTGCTGTGAGCTGTAATGCCACAGCACTCTACCGAGGGTGGCAAAGTGAGACTCTGTCTTTAAAAAAAGGGGGGGGGGGCATTGTCCAGGTGTTCAGCCTCCCTGGCGGAGGCCAGGATGTTGTCCACCGGGGGGACTGTAGTAAAGAAGTCACTTGAAGCTAAAGCTGGTGGCCACCCAGGCTTGGAACTCTGCTGGTGTTTTCTTTTTTCACTCATTTTTCCTGCAACAGGTGATGACCCGATTCTTAGTTACCTGCTACTTCCTGAGGCTTAAAGATCTGGATGATAAGAGTGTTCCGATGCCAGTTGGCCTCATTGTTCCTGTCCTCATTCTGTGTTGCCCCTTTGGGTGGTCAGTGAGGTCACCTCGGCCCAAGGCCAGATAGCTGTGGTCAGTTTCTGCGCTAGCTGGACCCCAGGGTGGGGTGGTTCTCACCAGGACAGGTGGGAGAATTGGGCCCAACTGGAAGGGTCCGGGGTGTCCAGGGAAGCAAGGTGCGTCCCTTTACCCTGACAGAGGGCACTGTGGCCACTGTCTTTGTGCTTCCACCCTCAGGTCTGGTGCTGAACAGAGACCGGAGGATCGCCTGGGTAAGTGCAGCTGTCCCTGGGTCCCTTCACGGGGCACCTGTTGGCCTCTATTTTTAGGATACCACAGTATGTACCTACATGGTACATAACATAGTCATTATCATTTAAACACTAACTCCCCATCCCCCATCCCCGGAAACCTCCACTCTACTCTCTGTCTCTGTGAATTTGCCTGTTTTAGGAACCTCGCATAAGCGGAATCACAGTATCTGTCCATCTGTATCTGGCTGCTTTCACTTAGCGTGCTTTCAGGATCCATTCACGTTGTAGTATATTCTAGAATTTCATTCCTTTTTAAGGCCGAGTAGTACCCCATCATATGGACAGACCACATTTTCTTTATCTCTTGTCTGTTGACGGACACCTGGGTTGTGTCCACCCTTTGGCTATTGTGAATAGTGCTGCTGTGGACATTGGTGGACAAGTGTGCTTTGTGAAAATGCCTACATGCAAAGTGACCCCCAGAAGCAGAAGGAGCTGAGAAACCAAAGAATGAGGCAGACAATCCAGTTTGTCAGTAAAAGGTGACACATTGGGGGACTTAGGGACAGGAGCGTGGTCTTGGGTGGCGTCAAGACCGATGGATGTCAGAGCTGCTCCCCTGTAAGACTCGGGGCTTGTATACTCCAGGGCAAGGGTGCACTTGCTTCAGAAGGAAAGTGTGGGACATTACATGCTGACGATAACACCCAGGCTGTCTTTGCTTTTGCAAGAAACAGTAAACAAAGTAGAAATCCTGGCGGCATTCCCAGGGCTGCCATTAGTCAGAAGTCAACCTGGCTGGTTAGCATCTAAGGTGGAGTTCCCTCAGCTTGCACAAGGTCTGGGGTCCTGCCTGCAATGCCCTTGGGTGTACACTGAGCAGTGGAATTGCTGATCCCGTGGTAAATCATTGTTTACCTTTTGAGAAGGGCGGTGCCTGTAGCTCAAAGGAGTAGGATACTGGTTCCATATGCCTGAGGTGGTGGGTTCAAGCCCAGCCCCGGCCAAAAAAAAAAAAAACCTAAAAACCTTTTGAGAAACCACCAAGCCATTGCCCACAGCAACTGCTCAAGGGTTCTAAGTTCTCCACCGGCCCAGTGACGCTTTTTATTCTCCAGATTGTTGATTTTAGCCATCTTAGTAGGCATGAGTGGTATCTCACTGTGGTTTTGATTTGTATTTTCTGAAAGACTAGTGATGTGGAACACCTTGTCATGTGCTGATTGGTCATTATATATCTTCTCTGGAGAAATGTCACATTCTTTGCCCATTTTTGAATTGAGTTGTTTGGGTTTTTTGTTGTAAGTTTTAGAAGTTCTTTATAAAATTCTGTATATTAATCCCTTACCAGATACATGATTTGTACATATTTTCTCCCATTTAATAGATTCTCTTTTCACTTTTTCTTTTTTTGAGACAGGGCCTCACTGTATTGCCCAGGCTAGAGTGAGTGGTGTTAGTCTAGTTTACAGCAACCTCAGACTCCTGGGCCCAAGTGATCCTCCTGCCTCAGCCTCCCATGTAGGCCTGTAGTAGACTACAGGTGCCTGCCACAGCCTTTGAGTAATTTTTTCTATTTTTAGTAGAGAACAGGTCTCAACTCTTGCCCAGGCTGGTCTCAAACTCCTGAGCTCAAAAAATCCTCTTTCCTTTGCCTTCCAGAGTGTTGGGATTATAGGTGTGAGCAACCACACTGCCTCACTTTCTTGGTAGTATCCTTTGATACACAAAATTCTTAATTTTAATTAAGTTCAATTTATCTGCTGTTTCCTTTGCTGCCTTTTGGTGTTGGACATAGCAACATCGCCAAATCCAGCAAGATGAAGATTTCCCAGTGTTTTCTTCTAAGAGTTTCATAGTTTTAGCATTTAAGTTTAGGTCTTTGATCCATCTGGACCATTTCCCATCTATCACCTGGATAATTCTTCCTGTATGTTTTAGAAAGTGCCTGAAGTATAAAATGTTTAGATTAAATTTAATACTTTCCTTTTCCACCTTTATTGTCTATCTCAAGTAACGGAGTCACCATTTTCCAGGTGGCCCACTGCCAGCCGCATCACGCATCACGGCAGATTCACAGACCCATCTGTGTGTTTTCATATGCGTAGATGTACATAGACACAGACCCAAATTTTAGGGCATTTTGTAGTGTTTATTTAGGTTTTAACATAAGTGGTTGCAAATGCTTAACTGGATTAACCAGATGGGTGTATAGGAGTTCCCAGGCAGTAGTGCTGGCCCCCGGGGCAGGGGTGAGGTCAGGGGTTTGGGGGAAGAGGTGGAGTTTGTGCAGGGGCCAGGTGGGTGGAGGAGGGAAAGACTGCAGGTATTTGCTGGTGCACAGGTGAAGGCTGGGCGGCAGCTCAGTGCAGCTGCTGAGAGGGGGCTGTCCGCAGGTCTAGAAGTGAGTCATGTTGTGGGAGCACTGGGAAACTTGGCCATTTCTGCTATCTCTGCCACTTAGTGGCTGTGTGACCTTGGAGAAGGGGCTTATGTTCTCTGAACCTTCTCATGTACAGAAAAAAAGTGCTTTTATTCATTCAGCTAGTTCCTTTGCGGGGCTGTCGGGAAGATGGGCTGAGGTCACGTGTGTGAGTGGCCTAGCACAGAACTTGCTGTCACTCAGGTGCTCAGAGCAGCGCTGTTACTGTGTTATTGTGATTGTTCAAAATGGTAAAACTGTATACACGTGAGACACCGTCTAGGGGCTAGGAAGCTGTGGCCTCAGGAAGCCCATGCAGAGCTGCTGCCCAGGCCCAAGCTATAGACAACAACTGGGACCAAGAGGGTGGGAATATTTAAGTTTTGCCTTTGAACCATCTGAAATTTGTTGTTCAGCCTGGCATGAGGTAGGGGTCTGTTCTCTTTTTCTCTTTTTCTAGATAAATAGTCGTCCAGCACCAGTTACTGGGTGGGCCTCCCTCTCCACAGGGCCCAGCAGTGGAGGTCCTGCCTGTGTGGCTGATTCTTGCTTTGGGAGCTTTTTGCAGGTCCTGCCCAGCAGGCTCTGGAGGCCTCGTGGCATAGCTGTCCTCCAAGAGAGTGCTGTCCCCTGCTGGTTCCACTGGCCGAGCGCCCCTAGGTTTGGCTTATTTTTGCGGGTGTGTGTGATGCTCCTTTCTTGTTTCCTACGGACTGTCCAGCAGCCAAAGCCGTGGGAGATGACTGCCTGCTGATGTAAAGACTTCCCTTGGGGTGTAAACTAAATCACAGAAGATAAAAAGCCCCCCCACCCCCCGCCCCTCACACCTCCCCCCATACGCACTCTGTTCTCTTCCATTCCTTTGTAAACACCTGAGCCCTATCACCCTGGTTTCATTCCCTTTTCATTTTAATAAGTTTCAATATTTAGCAAAAATCTGATCAAAAATCAGATCAAAAATCTGATCTCCTTGCTCTTCTTTTACAAATTTTCCTTGACTATTCTTACATATTTTCACTTCCAAATGAGATTTAGAATTACCAACATCTGTTAAAAAATTATTATTGGAATTGCACTAAATTTGTAGAATACTTTGGAGATTTAATTATTGTAGAAATTAGAGGCTGGGTGCAGTGGCTCATGCCTGTAATCCCAATACTCTGGAAGGCTGATGTGGGAGGATCTCTTGAGCTCAGCAGTTCACAAGCAGCCTGAGCAAGAGACCCTGTTTTTATTAAAATAGAAAAATTAGCCAGATTGTGGTGGGTGCCTGTATTCCCAGATACTTGGAAGGCTGAGGCAAGAGGATGGCTTGAGCCAAGGAGTTTGAGCTTGCTGTGAGCTAGGGTGCACTCTAGCCAGGGAAATAGAATCTCTGTCTCAAAAAAAGAAAAAGAAAAGAAATTATGAATGAGGATCACCTGATGTGCAGTGAAGGCACCAGCCCAATTCAGTGAGGGCTGGATACTTGCTGTCCACGTGGAAAGCGTGCTCCTAGTGCCCTGCCTCACCTTACGCACGAAAATTAAGATGAGTCATAGATCAGAATATAAAAGGTACAACAGTAAAAGTTCTGGAAGAAAACATAGGGAACATCCTCATACCTTAGGGCAGGTAAATGTGTGTACTCATGTCATAAATCAAGGCAAGTGTCAATAAATAGGTCATTATTCAAATTTAACATTTCTGTTCATCAAAAGAAGTGGAAAGTAGACCTCAGACTGAGAGAAGGCATTAGAATGCACGGGTCTGCTGAAGGACTCCTACCTAGACTATATAAAGAAGTCCTACAAATCACTAAGACTGACAAACTTATTTTTAAGAGCAGAGAAGGCCCTGGACAGGTGACTTATGGAAGAGGCTGTCCAGATGGCCAGTGAGATACTTCCTCATATCCCCTTGAATTAATCCACTCAACACACATTTATCAAGTTTCTCCTTGGTCTCTCCGTGTGCTGAAAGCTATGAACATGGAGAAAATTCTGGGAGCTCCTACCTCTGGAGGCCCCAAAGATCAGCCCTGTTGCTGGAAGTAGAATGTGAGCCGCATGTCATCTGACATTTCCTAGTAGCCACATTGAAAGAGCACAAAGGAAACAAGTGCAATTAATTGTTCTAATATTTTTATTTCTCATGTGTCTGAGATATAATCAACATAAAATTTGATTAGTTTTCCTAATAAGTCTTCCCAATCCAGTGTGCTTGTCATGCCTGTAGCTCATCTCAGTTCGGAGGAGCTGCGTTTCCCAGTAGCCTAGGTGCCTGGTGTAGGCCTGGACACTAGAAGGGTCATGTCAGCCAGGCTGGGCTATGCTGGAGCCCAGCAGTGTGGACCACCCTGCATAGCAGGCCAAGGGAATTTCTTTCTTATGGGAATGGCCCTGAGATGCTGGGTGGGCTCTGATTAGCTGAAAGGCCAGGGCCCCATCCTGGCTGTCCTGGAGGCAGCCTGTGGACCAGTAAAGAGGGTACAGTCACACCTCAGTTCTGTAATCAAGGCCCAGAAGTAGCCTAAGTCACTTCTCTGCCTTTAGTCACACAGCCACCCCCAGCGGTAAGGAACCTGGGAAGTGGAGCCTGGCTAGGTAGTCATGAGCCCGGAAGGGGAGAACAGATTCAGAGTGGGTCCCAGATGCATGGCTGCCAGCTGCCCCAGCAGAGCCAGGCTTTGGGCCACAGGAGTGCTGGGTGCCTAGCAGTGAGAATTCACTGTGGTTTTGTCTCTGCAGCCGGAGCACTGCTTTGATTTCATCAGCAGGGAGCTGTACATACACTCCATCAAGAAGCTGCAGGCCCCCGTCCTGCTCATCAAGTAAGTCTGGACCAAGTGCCCTTTGGTCACTCTGAGAGAGACGTGAGTGCTGGGAATCTCCAGGAGGGAGCCCTAGCACAGGGCTCCCAGTTCTCCTGGGGTGCCACTACACTGCTGTGGCTCAAGATCTTTCTTGGGAAGACCTCTTGGCAGTAGATCTGTTCAAGGAGGAAGGTAAAACAAGTCTTGGTGACCACCTGGAGAAACGAGTCTGTAAAACAAGTCTTGGTGACCACCTGGAGAAACCAGTCTGGCATCATCTTGAGCCATTAGTTAGTTACCATACGACATAGCATTTTTTTTTAACAGAGACAGAGTCTCACTTTGTCACCCTTGGTAGAGTGCTGTCATAGCTCACAGGAATCTCCAACTCTTGGGCTAAAGACATCCTCTCTATTTTTTAGAGACAGGGTCTCATTCTGGGTCAGGCTGGTCTCAAACTCATGAGCTTGTGCAGTCCACCTGCCTTGGCCTCCCAAAATGCTAGATTAAAGGCGTGAGCCACTGCACCTGGCACAACCCAGTTCTATTCTTAGGCATTCCAACAGACATGAAAACATGTCCACACCACTTATATGTGAGCAGGTACAGCAGTATTACATACCAGCCAAAAGGTAGGGACAACTCAGACATCCAGTTCACCACTAGACAAAGAGATGAGCGAAGTTTGGGCAGTCCATGCAGTGGGTGATTATGAAGCCACAAGGAGAGTTGTACTGATGTGTGCTGCAGCACAGGGTGCCTTGAAAACACCATGTTGGGCACAAAGGTCTACACACCGAGTGGGCCATTCACATAGGGCAATCTGGAGACAGCCCGTTAATGGTTGCACAAGGATGAAAGCAGACGGTGTGTAGCATGTGAAAGCTAGAGGTTGCAGGGTTCCTTTTGTGAGTGATGAAAATGTCCCATAACTGAGGTGATGGTGCACAACCCTCAACATATTAAAAACCATGAGCTGGCTCGGCACCTATAGCTCAACCGGCTAAGGCGCCAGCCACGTACACCTAAGGTGGCGGGTTCGAATCCCCAGCCCGGACCCGCCAAACAACGACGGCTGCAACCAAAAAATAGCCAGGCGTTGTGGCGGGCGCCTGTGGTCCCAGCTACTTGGGAGGCGGAGGCAGGAGACTCGCTTGAGCCCAGGAGTTGGAGGTTGCTGTGAGCTATAATGCCACGGCACTCTACCCAGGGGGACAGCTTGAGGCTCTGTCTCAAAAAAAAAAAAAAAAAACAACCATGAGCTGCACTTTTCACCCTCAAGGGGAGGACCATGTGGTTTATCAATAAAGCTACTTTAAAAACCAACAGAGAGCAAAAAATGAAACCACCAGCAGAGGAGGACGCAAGAGACTATTCAGATCCCAGCTCTGCCATCTGATGGCTATGACTGTTGGCAAGTCCTGAGTCCCGAGCCCCAGTAGAGTGTCTCTTAAGCACTTTGTTCAAGCCTGGCCTGTGGCCAGCTCTGAGTGTGAGCTGATAAGGAATGATGGAATCTCAAATCTAAGCTCAAAGAGACTGAGCTATAGGGAAGTCCAGGCTTGGTTTCTCAGAGGTCTGAAAATGGAGGCAGAATGAGGGCACTACCAGCAGATGGCCCTAAGGTAAACCCTTGCTTCTCCCTTTCCAGAGCAACCCAAGGATTTTATGATGTGAGAAGAGAGAATGATGCCAACAAGGAGCCCTTGCTCTTCATGATTGACATGCTAAAATCTGTCCTGAAAAAGGTAAAATGCATAGGGCTCAGGTGTCCAGTGTCCAGCCACTGTCACCCACCCCGTACCCAGTTCACTCATCTTTTCTTACACTGGGACCCCTGGTCTGATCCCTGGTCCAACTAGTGACCCCAAGGAGCTGTCAGTCCTAGCTCTCCACAGTGGTCCATCCCTGGAGACCTGGGATTATAGGTCAGAACAGGAAACAGGCCAGCTGGCAGATCTTTGCTTTATTGCCCTCACATGTTCCCCTGGACTGGGTACAATTCAGTGACCTAACTGCAAGCAGTCCCACATTTCAGAGGGTCCCAAACCAGAACAGGTCACCTCGTTGCCTCTCCCTTTCTTGATACCAGCACCATGGGGAGGCAGAAGGGACTTGTGCTGTGACTGTGACCCTTGTCCTAGTTCCTGGGAGTGTCACCCATGAATATCTGACTCTGGGGCCTCTGCAGACATTCTGGCAGTCAAAGCCAGGATGATGGGACTTTCCCACCATGGCACTTCCTCTTAGGAGCACCAGGCCTGGAGACTGCTTTGGCTCACATCACCTCATCCTTTCCCAAGTTGAGCTCTAACTGCCAGGATCAGTATTGGCGGCAAGCCTCTGGGTCCCTTCAGATCCTAGCTGTATTACCTTACAACTCAGCTGGCTCAGTCCCCTGGGGTGCTCTCCAAGTCCCTAGTGTCTGGGTACCCCCAGGGTGCTGTGAATTGAGGTCTAAGGAGCTTAGTCTGGGAAGACACATGAGGGCGCTCTTGACCTGCCAGGACAGTCTCTGTGCACCCAGGGCCTGTAGAGCTCCCCAGGTTCAGCCAGCCACAGACAGGCAGTGCCACCTCCTGTCCTCACCTCACCACGCACTCCCCCTCTTCTCCAGCGGTTCCAGTATGTTGAAGTCCCAGGTAATCACTACGTCCACATGAACGAGCCCCACTGTGTGGCCAGCATCATCAGCTCCTTTCTGCAGAGCAAACACCAGGCCCCAGCACATCTATAGCCTGTACTCACCAGACTGGCCACCAGGACTGAGCTCCTACCAAGCCCAGGCAAGGTGGGGGACAGGCATCAGTGGTCTTGAAGCCCAATGTCGGCTGGTGGTTAAGGGGAAGGGAGCAAGCTTCTGACTCTAATAGCCGGGACGGGCCACCCAGGCCCTTTCCTGCTGCCTGACTGTAAAGTAAACACTGCTGTGCCCTTGTTGCTTTGAGGCTGCTTCACTGCCAGCAGGGGGCTGGGGACAGGGGAACACAGAGCACATCATTAATCCATTCCCACGAGAAAAGAGAGTGGAGCCACTTCTCAAGGACCAAGTCCTGCTGGGCAGGCATAGCCAGTGGTGGGCCCTGGACCGGACCAGAGCACAACCTCCTAGGGGCATTCTGTAGGGGCCACTAGCCAGCATGGTTCAGTAGGGTCGGAACTTGCGTTGAGCCCGCATCAGTTCAATCCTCTGCTTGTCCTCCTCAAACTTCTTGCGCAGCTGTGCCAGATCTGGGGGTGCAAGGAGATGTGGCAAAGTCAGGCAGCGCACCCAGATGGAGCTGTGCCTGCTGCCCCCACTAGAAGGCTCCTGCCATCCACCCATCCCCAGTGCCCATGAGTAGGGCTTAGCACTGCCTGCCCCCTCCTCTGGAGACAAAGTCTAGATACTACAGGGGAACAGCATGTCTGCAGGCTGGGTCACAGGGCAGGCTGGAGTCCAGAGACAGAAAACACAGTGGAAAGAGAAGCAGCACAGAGAAAGCAGGAGGCACCTGTGTTCACCTGACCTAGGGGCCCCGGGAGTGCTGTGCCTGGAGGGCCTTAGGAGTTGGTACAAGGGCTCCACCTCCAGTGCCACAGAAGCCAGAAGGTAGCCATGGGCACTGAGTGGCCCAGGCCAGAGGGTGTCTGAAAGGCCCCCTTCCAGGAGGACAGCAGGGGCGCAGGCGTGAGAGGGGCAGTGGTGATGGGGCAGAGCCGAGCCCATGCTGGGCCAGCACCCTCTCCTGGGCCCCAGGGAAGCTATCCTGCAGCAGGGACACTAGGTGGCAGGGCAGCAAGCTCAGCAGCTGCACCACCAAGAGGATGCAGTGATCAGGTACTCAGTCATAGGAGTGGCCATACAGGGCCACCTAACACACGTGCCCTACCCACACCCCACATTCTCTCTCACACACACACACACACACACACACTCTCACTCTAGCACTAACTGCTCAGGGGACCCAGAGGAGGACCCAGCTCCAGGCCCTGCATGGGTCTATACAGCTGTTAATATCCCAGGGTCCCCCACATGGGGATGCTGCTATCCTAGGCCTCCAATCTCAGAGCCTGATGGGATGCCTATGCCTAAGAACAACCTCCCTTCCCACCCCCAAGTCCAGCTCCTGCCCTTTGGGGCACTGGCCACAGGCCTCTCTCCACAACTAGGCACCAGGGGTAGTGGGGCCTGAGGACAGGAGCAGGGTGCTCTCTTACGCTCCATCTTGGACTCGCGGTGCTGCCAGGCATAGAAGTTGAGCAGCTCCTTGCGTGCGCGCTTCTGTCTCTCTCTCTCCAGCACTCGCAGGCTGGCTGCCTCTGTCCGGGGCAGCCCAGGCCGCCGGCCCCGGCGAGTCACCTTCACCCAGCCCTCCTCGTCAGGGACTCCTTCCTCCTCCTTGGCTTTAGCCTCCTCCTGCAAGGGGCATGACACTGTTGATGGGCAGGCTCCTTGGCCAGAGCGCACGTTCCTGGGCCTACCCTGAAGCCTCCAGTGCACCCCCTCCTCCTGCAATCAGAACCACCCTGGGCACCCAAAGGTGTAGGCTGCTCCTCTGCTACATATCCCCTACTCCACGGTTAGTACTGAGGCCAAGCCTATGGGCAGGGGGCAGAAGTACAACACTGACTCCTCCTGCACCCCCTACAGACCATTTAGAAACTAGATGTCACCCAGCCAGGTGGCTCATGATTAGCAGGGAAAAAGGGAGCCTGGATTCTATAGGGTGACCAAGGACAAGTTGCCACTGTTCCTCCCCCTTGGGAGCCACACCAGGACACCTATGCTACCACCTCCCTGAGGCCATACAGGTAAGCTCAACTGTCCCTTCGAGACCCTACCTCAGCTATCTTCTGGTCATATGCCTCCATGAACGTGTCCACTTCGACCCTCAAGGCCTCGGGGTCAGGTATGGAGTCTGTGTAGTCGCTGATCCACTCTGAGGGAGAGGGGGCCAGGGAAATGTGGCTTCTTCAGGACTGACTTTTGGGCCCCATGCAGTCCCCACCCCAGCCCAACGGGGGTCGTCTTACTGGGAGGCAGGTGGCAAGAGAGATCCCAGTAGCAGCAAGCTGAGCCCTTGCCTAAGCCAGCCTGCCTGCCAGTCCCAAAGACTCAAGCTAACATTTCTTGAATGTGTCCCAGAGCAGCCCAGTCGCTCCCCGGCTCATACCTCCCACACGCTGCCCTCAGGGTGGGGTAGATGCAGCTCCTGACATGCAGGATGCCATCCCTACAGGGCTTCCCATAGACCTAGGGCCCAAGAAGTAGGTGCCCAACCCCACTGGTGTTACTGACTATGAATGCCACTCTTCACTGGATGACTCTCCGTTGAGACCAGCAAAGGGCCTTTCAGGGTCAAGGCAGCTGACACTCCACTTGGCTTCTGGAACACGACATAGGCTACCTGGAACCCCTGGGATGAGACAGATGTCACAGTGTGAGGACCTTCCCCACACCTGGCACAAGGTCTCTATGCCCAGACTTAGCCTAATTGGTTGCTGGACCAGGGGACAGTGTTGTGCCATTTCTGAACCATGACGCCAACCAGAAGTTATCACATAACTCAGGTGAGGGACATTCACACTCGTAGTTATCCAACTTCTGCAGAAGTGACACTTGTTCCTAGCTCCTCCCCCAGGAATAAGGGGCACAAAGGAGGCCTTTCCTCCAGTTATGGGAAGGATATAGTCAAAAATGGGGCCCAGCCTGGCCAGGGCAGGTTCATGGAAGCCAGGCCCAGGACAGATGGACAGACACCACTGTGCTGGATGACATGAGGGCTCGAAGTCACAGGTAAATGTGGGAAGAACTGTGCTCTTAGAGAACAAGGCCACCAAGCCTATAGATCTACTTTGAGGGAAGCAGGTGGGAGGCTCAGAGAGGCTCTTCTGTACAGCCAACAGAGATGGTCCCTGAGTTTTAACATAGGTCAACAGAAGATGCCGGGCATGAAGTTAAAGGATGTGGTAAATCCAGGGAAAAACCAGAGGCTTGTCATCCTCAGCATCCTAGGCCATACAGCCAGGCCTGCATTGAATGCCTGGAAAGTCCCACTGCCAACTCCTCCTCACAGGCTGGGGCAGTGCCCCAGCCCCACCCCTTACCCCGATTCTATCAGAATCCAGCACTTGGAGGCTTACTTGAACTGGCTTGGGGTGAAAATACTTTGACTTTGGCTCCTTCGGGTTCTCGGTAAGGTCCGGCTTCTCCTGTAACTCCACAGATTGGACAGGGCCACAGGGGGACAGCAGGCGCAGTAGGCTCTCCTGCCGTGGTGCAAGGGAAGTGGAGTGTGAATGGTGCAGGGCCTTCCCTCCACCCTGGGAGGTGCTACCAGAGGACTTGAGACCCTTAAGGACTCAGAGCTCAATCCAAAGAGCCTGTGGGCACACAGCCTCTGGTTCCCTCATGGATAATAGGCAGGCTAACATTCCTGCCCTCTTTCATACAAGACAGGTGGGGACATTTTTAATAGTGTTGATTTTATATGACAACTAAGTTCTATTTCCTGACTCAGAGACAGATAGCTTGCTGGGCACGGTGGCTCACACCTATAATCCCAGCACTCTGGGAGACTAAGATAGGTAGATTGCTTGAGCTCAGGAATTCCAGACCAGCCTGAGCAAGAGACCCCGTCTCTACTAAAAACAGAAAAATCAACCAGGCCTTATGGTGGGTACCTATAGTCCCAGTTACTTCAGAAGGCTGAAGCAGATGTTTGAGCCCAGCAGTTTGAGGTTGCTTGTGAGCTAGCCTGATGCCACAGCACTCTAGCCTGAGAGACAAGAGTGAGACTATAAAAAAAAAAAAAAAAAAGAAAAATCTATGCCATGAGAATCAGGTTGTTCCCGGTGTGTGGGGGATGCAGATGCAGATTTCTGGGCAGTGCTAAGGTTTCTCCATCTGGGTGCTGATTACATGGTGTGTTCACAGTGGTACACTCTTTTGACTGAGGTCTTTCTCTGCACATATGCTACACTTCAAAAAAGGTTAAAAATGGGTGGCACCTGTGGCTCAGTGAGTGGCTCAGTAAGTGGGGCGCCGGACCCCATATACTGAGGGTGGCGGGTTCAAACCTGGCCCTGGCCAAAGGGCAAGAAAACAAATAGCCAGGCATTGTGGCGGGTGCCTGTAGTCCCAGCTACTCAGGGAGCTGAGGCAAGAGAATCGCCTAAGCCCACAAGTGGGAGGTTGCTGTGAGCTGTGACACTACAGCACTCTACTGAGGGCAACAAAATGAGACTCTGTCTCAAAAAAAAAAAAAGGTTAAAAGTGACACTATTCTGAACATTTTTTCCTTCTTTTTTTTTTTTTGCTGGGGCTGGGTTTGAACCTGCCATCTCTGGTATATAGGGCCAGCACTCTACTCCTCTGAGTCAAAGGCACCACCCTGAACATTTTTCTTTCTTTTAGAGGAATTCTTTTTAGAAACTAGGTTTCCTTTTTGAAAATAAACATATCTAAAATCCAGCAATTTCTTACTTTCTTTATATGATACTAAATATAATAGTTTATGTGAAGAAAAATTTAACAGGTATGTCTAGATAGTTGATTTAGAGACAGTTTTTATATTCTTATACTTCTATTATTTATAATGGACATGTATGTTTACAAACAAGGAAAAAAATGTAACTCAAACAATTTTGAGTGACAGATAAAAAGCTTTGGGCTCCTTAGAATTATAAATTTTTCAACATCTTTTTAAAAAGCCAGTTTCCTGTCACAAGAAACAGAGGCAGCCCTCTTGACACACTTCTCTAGGGCTCCCCTCAGCAGCCTCCATCTCACCAAGGACTGAGTGGGTGCCATGGGAGCCCTCCATCCCAAAGCCCACAGGTCTCCTCCCAGACGCAGCTCACCTCCGTGCAATATGGGGGCACATTGAGAATAAAAAGGGTGCGCTTCTGAGGCCAGTTGGATTTGGCACCTTCCCGGACACTGTGTGCCCTCACATAGAGGTAATGAGAAGCTTGCTGCTTTTCAGAGAACTTGATTGGAATGGCTGGAAGGGAAAAGGGGACAGGAGAGGGATGGCCTGAGTGGTCAGGTTCAGGCCATCCTGAGCTGAGACCAGCTAGGCATTCATTCATCTAGTCCCATCTGTCCATCTGTCTGTCTCTATCCATCCTTCAGTGAGCCCTCCCCCTTGGCAAAGCCTTGCAGACCTCTGAGAGCTAAGAGAGAATCTGCCCAGGAGGGGCTCCCAAGCTGATGGGGAGAGCGTACCTGGGCAATTATCTGTACATGGGAACGTCATGAGAGCAAAGCTCAAACCTGCTGCTCTTGGGGTGAACACCAACCACAGTTGGCATCTATCAGTCTGCCAGTGTAGCCTCTTCCTGTACCATCCTACCTATCCCCACTACCAGGGATTCTCTCTTCTTCCAATAAGCCTGGCTTCACTGTCATGGTCTCCTCTACCTGCCACATCAATCTCTTTCCTCCCATAAACTACAGCTTTAGTTCCAATTTCACTTTCTCACAAGAACCTGACCATCACCCCCTTCCCTCTGTGCTGGGTCTGTGCGGTCATAGCTTCTCTAACAGCTTACACTGAAGGTATTGTTAATTGATGGCATGCCCAGAAATTTCAATACTCATAAGCCTACAGTCTGTTTTTCTCATCACTTTTCTCAGAGTGCAATGGGGAAACAGCTGCAGCACCTACCCTCAGGAAGCTCTATTGTAATAAAGGGAGAAGATCAGACCATGGAGGTGCAAACCTACAACCACCTTGCATCAAATATGGAAGAAACAAGGTGACAAGTGGCAGGCAGAGGCCTTTATACAACAGAAATGGACTGTTTGAGGAAGCTACATTAAAGTTCAGACCAAATGACACAATACAACAGTCCGGCACAGAACTGCTTAAGGAAGAGGGCACAGCAAGCACAAAAACCATCGGGCGGGGCGGCGGGGGGGGGGGAACAGCTTGGTGCATCAGAGGACTCCCTCGCGCCACAGTAGGCTTGCTGTCCCCCTGCGGCCCCATCCAGTATGTGGAGCTATAGGAGAAGCTGGACCTTGCCGACAGCCCAAAGGAGCCCAAGTCAAAGTATTTTCACCCCAAGCCTGTTCCGCTAAGCCAGAACACGTGGGCCACGCCATACAGGTAAGAAGCCTGAGGTCGGGTTGGGAGCTATCAGTAGGCGTGAGAGACGTGATCTGATTAAATCTGACTGTATTAAAAACACCCTGGCAGCTGGTGGAGAATGCAGGAGCAATGATGGAAGGAGGGGGACCGAACTGAGAAAGCACATACAGCCCTAGTGAGGGCTGATGGGGGCTGAAGTAGAAACTGCAAATGCGTGATGAAAAGGGGATGGGCTCCACTCTGGAGAAGGGGTGTGAACCGACACTGTTCGCCTGGGTCAGTGCGAGCAGAGGAGAAAAGGACGCCGCGTGGGTTCTTAGGCCCCTGCGGCCTCACGACCTGCCGGGCCCGGAGCCAGCGACCGCCGGGACTCACACCCTACTGCGCGACTGCTCCTGCAGGCTTCTGGCCACCGCCAACGCCCCAGATTACCTCCCAGCAGTCCTTGAAAGCTTCTCCGCGTCCCAGAGCCCCGTACCTGAGTAGCCCGGCGGGCTCGGGATCCCCTCCTCACTGTTCCTACCCGCACGCTTCCTTTTGCGCGCCACCATCTTGCCGGCTGGACGCGCAGAGGCCACTGGGAGTTGTAATTCCTCAGTGGAAGAGTCCGTTTCCGTGACAACGGCGCCGCGTGGGGGCCCCGCCCTACCGGTTCCTGGCCGGCCTCCCAGGTCCGCTCTTCTGCTGCTCAGCGCGTGAACGTCAGACGGAATGCGGGCCCAGGCCGTTCGCGAGTACAAATGCAACTTTCTGTCTATCCATCCGTCGTTCATCCCTTCCTTCCAGAAACAGCAGTGCCTGCTGCAGACACTGTCCTAAGCATTAGAGGCCAGAGATACAGAAGTGAAACGCCACCCAGCCTTTCTGGAGTTTACCTTCCAACAAGGGAAGGAAAAATAAAGAAGCGTAATACATTGCATATACGTTACCAGAAAGCACCGAAGAGAAAAATGGAGGACGAGGCAATTTTAAAATAATGAAAGAAATAGCACAATTTTAATTATTTTGAAATCATTAATTCACAGAAAGTTGCCCAAAAATGTACAGGAAGACCACACACAATTTACCCCACCTCCCCCAATGCCGACAGACATCCTGCACAATACCCAAACAGAACTTGATTTTGGACACACTAGCAAAAGTGGCTGCCACGCATCCTTTCTCCACACTCCGTGATCTCTAACACCAACTGAAGTTCCCAGCTCCCTATTTGGCCTTCTCTGTCACCATCCCAGCAGTGGTTTGGTTGTGCCCAACCTAGCCTAGTGAGGATGAAATCTAGGTTCCCAACTTGGCCATTGCTGGTTGTAATTTCTTATATGGCACTTGGGTGTTTTCATTCTTACTAAGCTATCTCTTTCCTGGTCCTTTGGCATATTTTTCTTGGGACTGTTCCCCCCAACACACCTGTTGGCATTTCTAGGTAGCTAGTCGCTCCAATGCCTAGTTTGGGATGTGAAGCAATAAGAAAACCCAGGAAACTCAATGCTAGTCATTCCTTGGGTCCAGAGGTTCCCAGGCAGTTTCTCTTCTTCCCACCTCTCAATGTTTTTGAGACAGTCTCAGTCTGGGTCGAGTGCCGTGTCATTATCATAGCTCACAGCAACCTCAAACTCTTGGCCTCAGCACTTGTGATTTTAGCTTGAGATGGGTGCCAGCAGCCTCATAGGTGCCAGCTGCCTCATCACCCCCATAAGATGGATGCCCTGGCCTTATGACAGCCTCACACCACCTCCCCACCCACCCCAAGGTAGGAGGAAGGGGAAAAAGAGGTAAATGAAATGATGCCAAGTACCATTACTCTTAGATGGGTCTTTGATCTGGCCAGAACAAATTGATTTACTTATTTGCTAATTGCCAGATCTGCTTTATGTGACCTTTACCTTACCTATCTAATCCGCTAAATTACAGGGTTCACTTCTATAAAAGGGGTCATCGTAACCCTGAGCTTGCTTTTTGCTTCTTTTTTTGGGGTAGAGATAGAATCTCACTTTGTAGCCCTTGGTAGAGTACCGTTGGCATCACACAGCTCACAGCAACCTCCAACTCCTGGGCTCAAGCGAATCTCTTGCCTCAGCCTCCCAAGAAGCTGAGAGCACAGGCACCCACCACAACACCCAGCCATTTTTTGGTTGCAGTTCAACTGGGGCCAGGTTTGAACCCGACACCCTCGGTATATGGGGCCAGCACCATACTCACTAAGCCACAGGCACCGCCCTGCTTTTTGCTTCTTTTGCTTTTTTTTTTAATTGAATGGTAACTATGCTTTTGCTAACTTTCAGCCTACCTGTTTGTACCTCTGCCAACTTTCAGACTCTAACAACCCTAACTTCAGACCCCTCAATGCTCTCTCAGTTTGCTTTATACTTTGCTGAGACAGCCCCATAGTTAATAAAAGACTCCTTTTTGAACTTCTAATTTGAGCCAGTGGTCCTTATCTTGCCCCCTTACAAGCTGGAACTACCGGCACCCACCACCACACCAGACTAGTTGTAGAGATGGGGCTCTCACTCTTGCTCAGTCTTGTCTCAAACTCCTGAGCTCAAGCAATCCCCCTGCCTTGGCCTCCCAGTGTGTTAGGATTATAGACATGAGCCACTATGCCTGGCAATTTTATGTTTTACACCAAATGTCCAGAGTTGTACTTGGTGGAAAATAAGGATGTCCTTCCAACCCACTTTCCCCCCCCAACCCACTTCTAATACAAGAAAACTAACCATAAATAATTTCATCTTTTCTAGTGCATTTAAGAGGTAATTTACATCCTTGTGTGTAACTTCTTCAAACAAAGGCAAAGGCAAATAGTCTGACTGCCTTCTTCCCAGAGGCCCCTAACTCTGTGTTACTAAGACCATTCTTCATACCCAGGGAAGCACTTTAGGTGCAGGGGGGAACTTCATCCCTGTGCCTGGTGCTTTCACAGACACTAGTGATTAGTCTCTCAGCTGTAGAGACTGAGGTTCAGCAACTCCTGGGAGAAAATGCCCAAGGTCACAGCTGGTGAGCAGTAAAGCAGGGAGGCAAATTCCCATTTGCTGGTGCTAAGTTTCACTAAGGTCACTTTACACAATCGTTGAAGAAATGACAGCTCAAAGGTAGGAATAACAAACGTTTATTCAGAAATGTATAAGTAATACACAGTCACCCTCCATCCCTTAATGCCCCTTCCTCTCCTGAACAAGAGACACAGACAGGTAGCGGAGAGGAGTGGGAGGTGGAGAAGGACACAGGACTAGCCTACCGCCTCCTCTTCCCTGTTTCCCAAGATGACAGCTTATCAAGCAGAGGTGCAAACAGTCCCTCTCTCCCCTTAATGTACCATATGGCCACCCAGAGATTGAGCTCCAGACGGCCAGGGAGCTGCTGCTGGGCCCAATGAAACTAGGTGATAACAAGAGCATGTCTGCTTAGGAGTAAGAGGGGAGGATGATGTCACATGGGCAGGATATTCACCAGCCCTGCTCTAAGCCATGTCCAGGGTAGTGATCTGACTGTTCCCAGTACCTGAGAAATCAGGCCCTACTGCCTTCGGGGAGCTCTCTTGGGCCAGGAACGGTAAAATGTAGAAGGAATGTCTTCCAGCTGCTAAAGAGAAAGAAGTTTGTACCTACAGAAGCAGATTAAGAGGAAAACTGTGGCTTTCTTTAAAGAGCCAGAGCTCGGTGCACCATCAGCCCCTCCCTGGACGTCCTTGGTCCAGGAAGCCAGGGTCAAACTCGGGTCCTTTTGGCTTGACAGATGTAAATCTGGAAACATGAATTTCTAGGCTGTATTTCACCAGACCAGCCTCAATCAAGTCTTGAGAAGCTCTTCGTGTCTCAGGTTCCCTTTACTTTCTAGGCTTCTGCCTTTGGGAGCACTTGCTACTGACTCTATAGAGCTCCCAGAATACTGCTCCCCAATGCTCCAGCGCTGCACCTGCCTGGATTCCCCTTACAGTCCCACCAGCAAGGGACTGCCAAATGACACCCAGAGCAATGCTGCCCTGGTATTCAAGGACTGCTCCTGGGTTTTAGTTTTGCGAAGCTGGAGAAACAGTCCCCGGCGTGCCCTGAGGACTGCCTTGTTCCTTGATCTCTCTCCCATCCCCCCACCTTCCCCACTGCCAAGGCAGGAAAATACCCCTCTACATGGACAGACAGGACACTCACAAATATGGGGACAGTGCCCCTTGGTGGCAGCTGGATATATGTCTCCTGCCAAGCCTGACTACTGACCTGTAGACTATTGAGGCCAGAAAGGTAGAGCCAGGAGCAAGCCCACACCTCCCACTCACATAATCCCCCAAACCTAGTGCTGCAGAATGGGAAGCAGAGCCTTTGTGAGGCCCAACTGCATGGGAGCTGGCATCGGTACCCAAACCAGGGTGTGATGAGTGCTATGCTAGGTGGGAGTCGGGAGACCTAACAATGCAAGCCACTCCCAGCAGCAACCTCCAGAGGCCAAGAAAACTGGTGTGAGGCATTCATCACAAGGGAAGGAAAAAGGAAATAGAACACTTAAGAATTTGCTCTGGGCTGTGTGAAGTTGCACAGGCTCTCTAAGCCAGCGCTGGGGTGCGCTCTCACTAGCAGGGCACTGGCCTCACCCCGCCCTTGCCCCCTAGCCAGGCCTGGAGCCAGTGGTGGGAAGAAAAGAGGCCAGTGACCTGATTCCCACCTATGCCACCTGCACTAAGGGTCCAGGAAGGTGAGCAGCACAGCTCTTAGTGGACCTGGCTCCATTAGGATGACAGAGGTTTCCATTCCCTTCTTTGTTTGAAAAGCTTAAAAAAACAGAAAAGAAAGGCAACCCCTTAGTCCCTGGAAAAAGCAGTGTCCTTCAAACAGCACCTGCCCTGCATCCCACAGGGCTACAAGAAAGCCACCCAGAAAATTTAGTGTACCATTTCCAGGTAAGAAATGAGCTTGGGGCTAAGGCTGGGGGAGGCATACGCTGAGAAACACAAGCCTACTTTGGTGATGAGGCAGAGAAGAAAAAATGCACACTACAGGAAATGTTTACGTACAGAAAAGCACAGGACAGAACGGCACAAAGGCAGGTCCCGTCCAGCGAGGACGCTCCCTACTTCCGGCAACCTCTCCATATTCAGGGGTTTCCAGTCCGATGGCGTCTTGGTCACAAGCTTTGCCTTAGAAAACAGAGCCACCTTCCTCTACCCCCACTTTTGGCTGCCTCACTCCTCTGCTCAAAGTTTGATTTTGAATTCTGTGGGCTGTGTGGTCACAGAGGCCCCTGAGGACTTGAAGAGTGCCTTCAGGATGGTGTCAGGGTCCACTTCCGCAGGAGGATTGGCTGAAGAGGCAGAATTCACCCTGCGAGGCAGCTCACTCTCTTTTCTCACTGAGGGGCTGTCACTCAACCGCCTGTGGAGAGCAGAAAAGAGTCAAAGTCCTTGTCGGTTTTTCCTTTGATGGGGAGAGGACCCACACTTTTACTGAGTATCTGTTATGAGCTGGGAACTGAGCACAGTGTTTTCTGTACTTCATTATCTCATTCTATCTTGTTAACAAACTGATCATTTCTCTTAGTTACTGACAAGAAAACTGAGATGCGGCCTATGCAGTTCTGAGGAAACATCACATGTTGCTCCCAGATGGTAACACATTAGTATATTACAGAATCTGAGAAGCCCAAGTTCCCAAACTTACTAGGTCACAAAACCCTAAGAAACATTTTGCGAGTACAACTTACTTCTGGAACAAATTTTAAGAAACTCATCCAGGCTTGGTGCCCGTAGCTCAGCAGCTAGGGTGCCAGCCCCATACACCGGAGCTGGTGGGTTCAAATCCAACCAGGCCTGCTAAACAGCAACAACTACAACCAAAAAATAGCCACGCGTTGTAGAGGGTGCCTATAGGCCCAGCTACTTGAGAGGTGGAGGCAAGAGAATCACTTAAGCCCCAGAGTTTGAGGTTGCTGTAAGCTATGATGCCATGGCACTCTACCCAGGGCGACAGCTTGGGACTCTTATCTCAAAAAAAAAGAAAAGAGAAAGAAAAACTCGGGCGGCGCCTGTGGCTCAAAGGAGTAGGGCCCTAGTCCCATACACCGGAGATAGCAGGTTCAAAACCCGTCCCCGGCAAAAAAACAGAAACAAAAAACAAAAACAAAAACAGAAACTCATCCAAATCACATAATCACACAGGGTTCAAATCCTAGTCTTGCTCAATCTCAAAGTCTATTCCTGGCCTGCCTCGCATTACCCCACCCACCCTGGCAAGTCTAACCTCCTCCTTATCTAGAAAATGACACCCTGCCAGTCTCCACACTTTATATATCTCAGGCTCCAGAAAAGTCCTCAGTCCCAGGGCATGTATACCTGACAAAACAAGGTGTAGGGAGATAAGTATCATGTCACGAGCTTCTAGACCCAGCTGAGGCAGAAGGAACACTTGAGCCCAGGAGTTCAAAACCAGCCTGGGCAACACAGACTGTCTCTAAAAACAAAAACTTAAAAAAAAGAAAAACCCACTGGAATGCAAAACGAGGGGTAGCACCTGGTACTGTCCCCATCAGAGTCAATCCCAGGAGGTCCTCTGCTCTCTTACACAACTATGCAAAGAGCACAGAGGAGCCTGTGCTCCACTTTCCTTGCAGGTGTTTCCAAATTCTCAGTGGTCATAATGCTAGCCCACCGTGGGCCAACCTCTGGGAAATTGGCAAAACAAAGAAATTTGGTTACATTCATGCACTCTGGATGTCCAGGTGCCATAAGAACAGAAGAACCAGAATGGGGATGGAAGGGAGTTGTAATGCAGGTGTTTGTGCCTCGGTATAAAGACATGCCTGTGCAGAGTACATGAGCAGAAGCTTGGCACCATCCCAGTCCCAGGGCCCGCCTCTGGAACTTACAGCAGGATGGGCTGGTCTGAGGTGATAACGTTCCCATTCATGTGAAGGTTGCACTTCATCGGTTGCCCTGAAAAACCAAAGAAAGGAAAGGCTTGTCATTAGACCTCAGTTCCTCTACCACCAAGGGTCAAAGCATATACTACAGGCAGCTCTGACTCTGCAGGTGACAACAAACTACTCAGTGTGACACCACCCAAACTTGTTAAGCAAGTAGTAAGGGAAAATGGTTATGCTATCAAATTAAGTGAAAAAGATATGCACATGTTTTTTGGATTTTCTGCTTTTTCTTTATTTACAGACAGAGTCTCACTTTATTGCCCTCGGTAGAGTGCTGCAGTGTCACAGCTCACAGCAACCTCCAGCTCCTGGACCTAGGCAATTCTCTTGCCTCAGCCTCCCAAGTAGCTGGGACTACAGGCACCTGCCACAATGCCAGGCTATTTTTTTGTTGCAGTTTGGCTGGGGCCAGGTTCAAACCTGCCACCCTCAGTATATGAGGCTGGTGCCCTACCCAGTGAGTCACAGGCGCTGCCTGATTTGTTGCTTTTTCAAGAGATAGGGTCTTTCTCTCTCTCTTTCCCAGGCTAGCCTTAAACTCCTGGGCTCAAGAGATCCTCCCAAACAGCTGGGACTACAGGTGTGTACCACTGTACCAAATTAAGTGAAAAGAGGATTCAAAAGTATATCTACAGGCTGGGCGTGGTGGTTCATGCCTATAATCCTAGCACTCTGGGAGGCTGAGGCAGGAGGATTCCTTGATTCCTGAAGTTCAAGACCAGCCTGAGCAAAAGCAAGAATCTGTCTCTATTAAAAATAGAAAAATTATCTGGACATTATAGCAGGTGCCTACAGTCCTAGCTACTCCGGAGGCTGAAGCAAGAGGATCGCTTGACCCCAGGAATTTGAGGTCGCTGTGAGCTAGTGTGTGCTCTAGCCCAGATAACAGAGTGAGACATTAGCTTAAAAAAAAAAAAACACACACAAAAAAAAATCTATAGCCTTCTAGTTTGTCTGTGGAGGAAATAACTAACTGCCAGGACTGCACACCGTCTGGCTGTAACGCTAACACAAATATGAACAGATCAATTAATCTAATCAAAGCGGAAACTGTCAAGCCAGATTAAAAACAAAGGTCCAACTATATGCTACCTACAGGAGATATACTTTACAAAGATATTAAAAGGTTGACAGTAAAAGGGAAGAAAAAGAAATACCACCCAAATAGCAACCCTAAGCAATGTGGAGTAGCTATACTAATAGAAGACAAAATAGACTTTAAAACAAAAAATATTACTAGAGATAAAGAGGGAGACTGAAGACAGGCATGGTGGCTCACACCTGTAATCCTAGCATACTAGGAGGCTGAGGCAGGAGGATCAGGAGTTCGAGACAGCCTGAGCAAGGGCAAGAGCGTGTCTCTACTGAAAATAGAAAAACTGGCTCGGTGCCTGTGGCTCAAGTAGCTAAGGCACCAGCCACATACACCTAAGGTGGTGGGTTCAAATCCAGCCCAGGCCCGCCAAATGACGACGACGGCTGCAACCAAAAAATAGCCAGGCGTTGTGGCAGGCACCTGTGGTCCCAGCTACTTGGGAGGCTGAGGCAGGAGACGCGCTTGAGCCCAGGAGTTGGAGGTTGCTGTGAGCTGTGATGCCACAGCACTCTACTCAGGGGGACAGCTGGAGGCTCTGTCTCCAAAAAAAAACAAGAACAGAAAAGAAGGCTCGGCGCCTATGGCTCAACCGGCTAAGGCGCCAGCCA